ATAAGAGCAATGGGGCGATATGATGCTGGATCCGTTGGGTCTTTGTTCTTCTTGGGGATGACTGTTATTGATGATTTTGACCAAGATGGTGGTAAGACTCCATCTTGCGGAGCCCTGTTGAACAAAGCTAAGAGAGGGTTGGTTAAAGAAGAGCAGAATATTTTATAAAATTCGGCCAAGAGGCCATCTATCCCTGGGGCCTTGTTGAGTTTTGTCAGTTTAACTGGATCTTCCACTTCCTTGCACATTATTGGGCTGTCTGTTTAGTGTAGTGGTTAAGTGTGCAGACTCTAATCTGGTAGAACCGGGTTTGATTCCCCACTCCTCCACTTGCACCTGCTGATGTGACCTTGGGTCAGTCACAAGCTCTGGCACAGCTGTTCCTGAAAGAGCAGTTTGTGTCAGAGTTCTCTCAGCCCCACCCACCTCACAGGGTGTCTGTTGTGGGGAGGGGAAGGAGTTTGTAAGCCGCTCTGAGACTCCAACTGAAGGGCGGGGTATAAATCCAATCTCCTCCTCCTCCTCCTCCTCTCCTCTAATGCGGAGGCTTGGGCTGCAGATAAAGATTTCAGTGGTGTGAGTCCAGATATGTGTTAATTGAATCCAGTTTTGGGAAGGATGACTGATACAGCTGTTAATAATATTTTGCAAAGGTGTCCACAATGTTCCTCGAGGTGGTTTGAGTTTCTCCCACAGGAGATTTAAGAGAGCCGATGATCGCTTTCTTTTTCTTATCTTTCACCCTCCAGGCCAGCAATCGCATGTTTTTTGCCGATTTGTGCCAGAATTTTTGCTTTAGTATCAGCAGGTTCCGTTGGACTCTAAGGAGTCAAGAACTTTCTGTTCTTCTTGTAGTTTGAGATATGTCGAATTCTTTCACGTTCTGTTATGTTCCTGCTCCAAGTTGGTAATGTGGTCCATTATGTCCATTCTCAGCTTTTGTGTTTCTCGTTTCAGATGTGTGGTTGCTGAAATGATGGAGCCTCTCAGGACCGCTTTCAGTGTGTCCCATTGAATCGCAGGAATCGTTTCAGAGCCCTTATGTATTTCTAAAAAGTTCAGAATTTCTTTATTTAATTTTTCTGTGATTGAAGTGCGCAATAAAATGGAGGTGTCCAAGGACCGTTGTCTGTTTGCTTTTTCTTCCGTAAGATCTTGGATATAGCAGTCCAGCCAAGCATAGTCAGACAGATGCCTGGGGCCTATGTTAGCTGACTGAAGGTAAGGCGTTAATGAAGAAGAGATTAAAATAAAGTCGATTCACGTGAAAACATTGTGCCTCATCGAAACATTGTGCCTTATTTAGAATCTTGTATAACTCTTTAACCTTCAAAATTAGTTGAATGCAACCTTGTAACCCTGTGAATGATTTTAAATGACAATCAAGTTAGAACAATTGATTAGCAGTTCACTGAATAATCAAATCCTTACAATAGTCTCAGAAAATAACGTTTTCAGAAAATCAGTGTATATATATATGTATATTTTACCAGATTTACCACTTAATAGAAAGAAATACCTCAAACTAATTACGTTTCAGTCTCCTCCTGCGTTGCTTATGTTACCTTTTTGTAAGAAGAATCTGTTTACTAAGTGTATAAAGTAACAATCTATTAGCTATAAATGAGGTATAACAAACCAGGCAAGTTAAAGAGCCTATCCGGAAATGTGGTGCTATCTAAGTGAGGACCGACTTTGCAAGGACCGTCCCGCTCCTTAAAGGGCAAGGACCCTAAAGCAGTCTCTACCCACGGGAGCTAAACTGCAACCCCCCCCCTTAATGTAATGTATCTATTTAAGTAGAACCTTTAATAATACAATACCGAGTAAATAATTAACTGACATAACAAACACATCAAAGCACAATTTATGGCCTCCTAGGGTTGTCGTCCTGTATGAAGCAGTGAGTTAGTTTCCCGAAGCAGCTCGGAGCAAAGATTAGTCTCGGGACGACACTTTGCTGCTTCTTGCAGGGGAGCTCGGTGATTCATGACGGTGTTTACCAGAGTGTCCGCTAGTGTCCATTGGCTCCCAAATTCGAAGAGTGTCTGAAAGCTCCGACCCTGTGTCCTCATCGGTTGCCTGTAGTGTAGATCCCCGGTGTGAAACTTGTAATCCTCTCGATGCCAGCCACCTATATCGGATGTTCGCTTGTTGAAGGCGGGAAGTCGTTGTTTTCAGAGTTTTTCGGATTTTCAGAGCCTCCTGAGGTACATCAGGGTAAACATGGACATGGCTATCTTTGTATAGGAGGTAGCCTTTGTCAGAAGCTTCTTTTAGTATGCGTTGTCTAGTGCGTCCATCAGCAAACTGGACAAGAATGTCTCTAGGTCCCCGGTGTTTTGGATTAGCTGCAGGACCTAGGCAGTATGCCTTTAAAATTGCGGGAGCCACCCCATCTTCCAATCGAAAAACAAAAGCCAACCATGTTGCTATAAAGCAAATTAAATCTACATTTTCCTCCTCTCCCTCTGGGATCCCTCGAAATGTTACATTTAGTTGTTTGATTTGTGCCTCCAGAATAAAAATACGTTCCTTGGAGTTTGTTTCTAGTGATTGTAGCTCTTGAACATTGTGCTCATGTTAAGAGCCGATTCAGCCGTGCCTGCTGTTTTTCCAGAGCGGTTTGGATATAATTTAGTTGATCTTTAAGCGGCTGAATAGAGAGCATCGTGTTGTCATTAATGTTAGCAGTAAGTCTTTTTTTCCATTTGTTCCAGTAAAAGCGGGAGATCAATCTTGTCAGAAGAAGCGGTCATTACTTTAGCTGGAGACTGGTCAGCAGTCATTTTAGGTGTCTCCGGGCCCAAATTGTTCCGCACCCCTCTGGTATTTCTAGGAGTAGAAAAGTTCTGAGCAGATTTGGGTGAGATCTTAATAGATGTCGTTTTTGGGCCGCAGTTCTTACCCATTCCTTGCCAGTCTAAGAGATCGAATCGGTTCTGTGAAGCGCTGTAAGAGAGGGGAGAGATGGAGCTCACAGATTAAGCGACTGCCATACTTCACGGCGTCGCCACACACCCTTCTGATGTTCTAAGGGGGCAAAGTTGTGCCTCTCAAGTGGCTAGTTTTGACCAGGGATCCTCCCATTGTTGATTCCTCTGCTATATGATGGAGCGCTTTAAATCCCAACCGTAAATATGAGAAAAACCAAGCATATATTCTGAGGACAGGCAGACAGTTTTGTGCAGATTTTCTGCCGTGCTTCGTTACCCCCTCCCCAGCTAACACTTTCAAGGCAACCTTTGCAGAAAAGGGATTTTAAAATGAAAGCCATGTGACCAGAAGGATAGGTTGATGCACACAGAGTGGTTTTGAAGCCTGACATTTCCCTGCATAGTAACAAGCATGCAAATCCTGCTTAGAAGGATAATTATAGCATCAGCACTCAGGGGACCAAGGGATCAATCTTTAGCACTAATATATATGTAAATAGTTGAAGTACTATGTTGAAAGGAACATGAGAACCTGGAAAACTCAGGTAATATAGTCAAGGCCAGAAAATCAGCTCCTATAATGCTGGATGGCTAATTCCTCTTTTCAAGCTGCAATGCAGGCAGTAATGCAGAGATCCAGTTTTATCCCTTTTGTCTTCCAGACAAGAGATACCTCCTTTTATTTTATAGTTAAATGTGCATTTCTAGTTGCATTGTTCTCATTAAAGAGAGTAAAAACGAACAGGTTCATGAGAGAAAAGTATGTGATTAATCAGGTCTAATGAAATTTTGAGCCTTCGGGGGGGGGGGGGGGGGGAAAAAAACAATCCTTAACAAATGGGCAGATGTTCAGAGGTGTACAAACCGCCACAAGGTGCAACCATAGAAATACAAGGAAACTCAACTGTTGCTGTTCAACAGAAACATCCAAAACATTGCAGGGCATTCACCTGCAGAACAGTTGTATTCTGTAAACCGGCCCATATAAACATCCACTTCCACAGCTGAATCTGAACTGGTATGACAGCCAACTGTTTAATTAAACCAATGTCTTGCAACAAACAGCATTTTTAATCCATGGAGACTGAACTGAAGCCTTATTAGACGAACTTTAATTTTACCTAATTGGTGTTTTTGCATTCATATACCAATGAATTGTAGATTTTACTTCATTATTTCATCTGCATATTAACTCATGAAACTGCCTTATATTGGTCTATCGAGGTCAGTACTGTCTACTCCGACTGACAGCAGTTCTCCAGGGTTCCAAACAGGTTTTCCACACTACTTACAACATGATCCATTTCACTGGAGATGCCAGGAATTGAACCTGGGACCTTCCACATGCAAAGAGATACTGTATTATTTATTAATTTAGCAAATTTTATATGTTGCCTCTCCAGAGACCTGCTCAAGATGACTTAGAACTAAGATAATAAAATAAAACCATCAAAACAAAGCCATTACACCATTAAAACATCCACTAAAACAGCATAAAATATACAATAAATAGCTTAAAATGATGTAGAATCAGATCACAAGGCATTTAAAAGAAAAAAAACCCTTAGTAAGACTGGGTAAAAGAGAATTTTAGCTCTACCACTGAGAAACAGGCCCTCTCTGTATATAATCTGTTCATCATTTCCTACAGTTTCTCAATAGATCTGTGCCTCCTTGCAAATAACTTTTTTACTTTTCTTACAAAAAAAACCCCAAAAACAAAATACCCATTTAATAACCAGCAAATTACTGTTTGTAATTTTTATCTAAGCAAAAATAAATAAATAATCTTCCATATTTTCCTGCTTGAATGCCGGAAGAAGATGCAAACTCACCAAGTCTGGATTAAAGACTTTCTACATACTGGCATCTTGAGAGATCAAAGGCCCTGAAATGCATTCCTAAGACACTTTCTTACAGCATCCAGATTCTGCATCATATGATTTGAAATCCATATGTTAGGCACTGGAATTCTGAAATGGAGTTCCACACATTTTGCCTACAATGGCCCACCAGCCACTAATGAAGGACTATGAAAAAAGGAATATGGGAGAAGTTTCTGACCTGACCAAGCTCCTCATTGAGGTCAGAGGTATTCACCAAGGCCCCTTCTTTGGTTGTCTCATCATACATCTCTTTGTCCCAAGAAATGAAGAAAGAACCCAAGAATTTCTGCATTTCTACTGTCACATACATGGAGACTGGGATAATGAAATTGAACAAGACCATGAAGGACAGGAAATCTGTGAACATTCTTAAGAGCTGAAAAGAGAAGAACGGCAGTGAGATCACTTATATATATAATTATTTTTAAAAAGAACCTATGACTACAGAATAAACAAGCAAAACATTGTCAGTACTACTATCTACTTGAGCTTCTGCATGGCTGCTGCATCTTATACACTCCAGCTACAACCTGGGACAATGTTAAGTATCAATTTCTAGTCTTTGGGGACAGACCATTATAGGAATGTACTTGCATTATGATGTTAAGTGTCCATTTCTAGTCTTTGGGGACAGTCCATTATAGGAATGTACTTGCATTATGATTGCCATTCAGAGGCAATATTAGAACTTATGCTAACCAGAACACTAAAAGGCAAGCAAATTACCAAGAAAAGCAGTTTTATGCACATTCCTTACATATTCTTTCATCTCTTTAATGTATTAATTTTACCAAGCTGTTATTCTCATTTATGCACTATTTTTGTTGTAAATGTGTAACTTTCTTTTTTACAACAAAACACAAGCAACTGCATAGGCCATGTGAATCCCTTTACCTTGAAGGTCTCTCTCTCTCTTTGGGTCTTTTGGTTGTACCAAGGTTCATCGACAGAATGATCACTTATCCAGTAGTACTTCATAGTAGTGCACACCACGGCCTTGCCCACAAGAATGAATAAATAGACAACCAAGAAAACGTTGATTGATCTGGAAAGTTGGAGCATTCAAAAGCAAATAAGGAAAAAAAAGTAAGACCAAACAGTGCATAAAAGGGACAAAAACAAATGTTTCACTGATAAGGAAACACAAAATATAAAGCAGATGTATACCAGGACAACCCATTGGTCCATCTAGCTCAGTATTCTCTGCTCTGACTGTCAATCGTTTCTCAGGGTCTCAGGCAGTGAGGGGGCTTGGCCATCTTTCCCTGGAGGATGCCAGGGACTAAACCTGATATCTTCTGCATGCAAACAAGGGCTGTACCAATGAGAAACCCCCCCCCCCCGAACAATGAATATATGAAACTGCCTTGTAGTGAACCTTGTGCCGAGGTCAGGAAGATGGCTGAATTACATGCCTTCCAAGTATATCCTGGAATCATCAGTATACACTAAATTGTATAAGACTTTAAATAGAAAACATACTTGCAAAGTGGATAAACAGATCACCTTACATCTCTCAGTGACCCTTACAACAGGCCTGTAAAGTAGGAGGGCATTGTTATCTCTGCATTGCCAAGATGTGGGAACTAAGGCTGAGAGAGAGAGAACCTGGAGACTTTCCAGTTCACAATCCTCTCCATTCAGCTGCATCCAACAGGCACAGTTTTGACTACAACTGTTTCCCCATCTCCAAATATGAGCCTACTTTGCCAAGGCTATTGTGAAGGCACATGAAGGAAAGCCCTTGGGAGTACTTCTCCACGATGTGAAAACAAAGACCAGAATCAAATCAATGATTATTTTTATTTTTAAAAAAAGTAAAAAAAAGTCTGGCACACTTACTTTTCCACCGCAGAGCGTTTCTGAGATTTTCCTTGGTAGTTCAAAGCCATTTTTGTTTCCATCCCAGTATAGACAGCAACACCTAAATAATAAATGCTATTTTTAAGTTGCACATAAGCTCAAGCTGAACGGTTCCTTTTTAGGAAGACAATTTAGTTCTCAGCTGCCAGTTTTTAGTGTAGTACAGTTCATGGTAACGGAAATGTGAATGAGGAACAGATTGCAAGGCTTGAGAAAGTGCAGCCGGGCAAAGAAAGAAATAGGGGATTGTATGAACTCCTAACTCTGCAGAAGAAAAAGGAACAACACACACCTTTGAGATATCAGGCTTTAATGATTGGAAGAAAATTGCTCACCATAGATTTTGTGAGTAGTTTTTAATGTTGACAGCAGGAGGTTGTCGGGGCCCAGTGCTCTACAATAAGGGTAGAAGATTACAGCATTTAAGTCAGAGAAGCATGCTGGATAAGTTTCCCAGGTATTTATTACCTACTGCATTGCCATATCTATGCCCTGCCAAAATTACACAACAATCAAATTGCTACAGAAACCAGTGAATCCAAACACACAAGAGTTTTTTAATTTTTTTAATCTAATAGAGGTCTATAGTGCACTTATACGGTTGCTTCAACTGAAGGCCCTTTGAAATAAAAAGGCCACATGTGTGGCATCCTCAATATAGGAAGTGATGGTGCACTCTGCATTACCTCTAGAAAACCATTCAATATGACTGGTTTAATGACGGGGGGAGGGGGAGGGCTGTGAATCCCCACTTTGCCATGGAAACCTGCCGGGTGAGCTTGGGCTAATTGCACACTCTTAGCCTAACCTATCTAACAGGGTTGTTGTGAGGATAAAATGGAGAAGAGGAAAATGATGTAAGCTGCTTTGGTCCCCATTGGGGAGAAATGCTCCAGACTTGTTTTGTTTCTCCTCTTCCCCTGCCCATGAGGTTGCCAGGCAGTCTGGAATGGGAAGTAATGTGTAGCTTACCATCTAAAGATAAAGGTTTCCCTTGCTCAAAAGCTAGTCGAATCCGACTCTATTGGTTGGTGCTCATCTCTGTTTCCAAGCCAAAGAGCCAGCACTGTCCAAAGACATTTCCGTGGTTATGTTGTTGGCATGACTAAATGCTGAGGCGCACAGTACGCTGTTACCTTCCCACCAAAGTGGTACCTATTTATCCACTTGCAATTTTTTGCTTTCAAACTGATAGTTTGGCAGAAGCTGGGGCCAGAGACGGGAGCTCACTCCATCACGCAGCATTAGGGTCTCGAACTGCCAAGCTACAAGTCTTCTGGTCTGCAGCTTCAGCGTATTAACCTCTGAGCCCCTGCGGCCCCTAGCTTGCCATCTGGATTCTTTTAAATCTGTTGCACCAATGTTGTCTATGTATTCTATTTTTATGGCTATTGTGTTTTTATCTATTGTTGTAAATAATAATAGTAATATAGGTAAATAAATAAATGCCTTCATAAAGGGAGATGTACCTTACACTGAGCCTGGGAGTAAATGATCAGGCACAGAAGGCATTTCAGAACAGATGCCATTTTGCCCCCCCCCCCCCCCCCCCCCCCCATTTACAGTTATGACACACATGTTGACTGTTGGTGACTGGAAGTTTTACAACTTTATTGTGATGGATGATTCAGAAAAGCCCCATGCAGGCAGCAGTGAAGCTCTCTCACCTTTCCCTGATGGAGTTTGTCTCAAAGGCACCAAGGGCCAATTCGTTCAACACCAAATTGGAGGGCAGGACAAGTCTAGTCATATACATGCTTCTTGTGTGGGCATACTCCTATATAACCGTGTATCAGACTGCAGAGGGATAATTCTATTGGTCTGTCTAGCAAAAGAAAACAAGGGTCCAGTGGCACCTTAAAGCCTAACACTATTAACTTCAATATGAAGTTTCATCAGTCAAAGATCACCTTCAGTTTATTGTCTCACACATCTTCAGCATAACCCCACTGAAAAATGTGGCTGAGGTGGGCTTTGGTGTAAGATAAAAAGTGCACTTTGGTGTCTCTGGCATGTGCAAGCTGCATCTCTCTGAAGCTGAGGTTTTTGCAAGATTTGGCAGCCTCCCTGTTCTTTAGAAAATTTGTGACAGTCTCTTTGCTGTTTTTGGTTTTAACGAGGGAAAGGCAACTTGCGCTGCACGCATTTGAGCAAAGGGTTACATCACTGTAGGGATAATTAGTAAAGGGGGAAAACCTGACGTTTTGGTAGCTGCTTCCCCTTAAATGAGAAAAGCACTTTCTTTGATTAGTATTCTCTGCTATGGGAGAATCATGCATGGTTGAGCCTGCTTCGATGGGGAGGGTGGGATATAAATCAAATCAATAAATAAATAACACCCACCCACCCCATTTTTCTTTGGACAAGTGCGGTTACCTGGACTTTCTATTCCCCATTCCTTAGATGTCAGCTAATACTTGCTTGGTGCTTCTTTGCTGGAAATTGTAATTTCCTGCCGAGTTAGCTGGTCTAAGGGCAGAGTGCTCTGTTGTTTGGTTCAATTAGGGATGGCAAGTGGGTTTTCTTGAAAACTATGTTTGTTGTCCTAAAATAACAACATTGGCTCAGCCTCTCCAAAAACAACTTTTACCTCCAAATATGCCTATTAAAAACTTTTCCTTAACCAGTCATATGAAATCAAAGCCTTTGGAGAGGAAAAGAAACTGCTCAATGTCGCTCACATGACAATGAAAATATTGCATTTGTTACAGAGGAAAGTCTGGCTGCTGAATTTTTGGGATAGCTCCTAGGTTCAAATAAAATTGGCTGAGGCCTGTTCTAAGTGACCTGCCATAGTCAAGAGACAAGCCACTCCGTTCTGGGACAATTATAACTTCCTAACATATGCTAACTCAGTCAGTCCTCACATATGTATTCTCAACAAGAAGGACTATAAATCCTCTGTATTTTCATGTATTTATTTTTTAGAACAGTATATTAGAATACTGAATGGGTGTCTGCTGTCAACATTACATCCAGCTCAAAATATACTGTTGTGCCCTCCACACACACCCAACGCTTCAGGGGAGATAATTAAGATTCTGTTACTTCCCACAATTAGAAAAAACACCTTTAGACATTTAGTTTTTCACTTTGCATAACTTAAACATCATCATGTTACATGTTAATTTGCTGTTAAATCCCTGTTTATAAGTTTAGAACCTCATTTACCATTCCAATGTATTTGAAAAATACATGCCTTACACATGAAAGCTCATACTTTGTAACTGTCTGTAAGCACATTACTATAGTTCAGCTAGTTGAGTGATCGCTTAAAAAGTTTTTTTTAGCAACATGAACCAGCAGCAATAACCAACGTGCACAGAAAATTACAGGATTTTGATCAGTTCAAGATCTTTGGGTCAGAGAAACAGTAAGAAGAAGAAGGGTGCATCTGTGGAAAATGGGTTTATTACTCTCCAGAAGCCATAATTCCTTAATAGAGCCTCCTTGTCAAGAGACAGTCTACCCCAGGTTCCAGATTTTGGGAGCAAACACCCAGCGTACTCTGCTAGTTGTTGCTCTAAGTTTACTACTGGTTTGGAGATATCTTAAGGGTTGATGGATCTATATTTTCTTTGAGATGCAAGGTGACTGTATACATCTTGAAAGCAAAATTACAGGAGATCAAAAATCAGGCTGATTGATGTCAGTAGTATTCCTTTGACCACAAGAGTCAAGCTTATTAATTTCAATTGACAATCAGCAACAAACACAACAGCTGACCAACCTGGCTACAGGCTCTTGGTTGTCATTGTAGATGTTAATTCTTCCAACAAACCTGCAACACAAGAGGACATTTGTTCTATGCTGTTTGGATTTGCACGGAGCCCTTGCAAGTACAATGAACAGAGGAAAACAAACAAATGAGTCAGTGAATAATGAGAACAGAGATAAGAATAGCAACTTTTATATTCAACAGGTGGGATCCAGAAAGACTTTTTCCCAACAGGCAATGTTAGTTCAAAAAACTGCATCTCCACAAAAGTAGCAGAGGCTGATCCAGGACAGGGAGTACAGAGGGCTGAAATTGTGTGAAATTAATTTATTCCACAGAATTTTAGATGGCCATCTAGTTCAGCCACCAGTTCAATGCATGAATTCTGAAGTTTGAGCATGCATTCCTGACACACTGTTGGCTAGCCTCTGCTTGAAGACCTTCAGTGAGGCCCCCCTAAGTAACTGGTTAAATTGATGAACTGCTCTTATTGTTCAGAAAGTGTCCCTAATATGTTCCTGAAATCCATCTTCCTTTAGTTCATTACTTCTAAACTTGGCCTCTAGAGCAGTGAAGTATGTTGTTGCCCTCTTCTATATGACAGACCTCCAAGTATTGGAAGAAAGCAATCATGATCCACATCCCTCAGTCTTTTCTTCTAGTTCCTTCAAACTTTCCTAATGGTACTGGTTTTTCAGACCATTCCTGCCAGCCTTCATTGCCCTCATCTGAATCCATTCCAAATTGTCTACATCTTATGATGCCCAGACATGGAGATAGTAGTTCAAGAGATGAGACTAGTGTGGAATAGAGTGGAACTATTAGTTCTAATGACTTGGATTCTATGCTTGTCTTAATGTAGCTTTAAAATCACATGCATTTTTAATTCTACAGTCACCTGTCAGTAAGCCGACCCACCATCTTCTCAGCACTTACTGGATCCTGGATCAATTTCAGAATGTACCAAAGCACAGCTGTCTTCCAATTCAGGCTGCCATGGGTGGGAGCATGTGACTCTAGATTTATGAACATCTAGCATCATATCCTCTTAATGAGGGGGTAACCCTAGCCAGAAAAAGGCCCAGATATTACCTGTGCGGCTTAGCCCCAGGATGGGGCATGAATCCAGTTAACACCTGGTCCCTCATACTCTTCAGAAGACAAAACCACTTGAAGCTGATCCATACACATACAGTGCAGCATCCTACATCCCAGCTTAGGTGTCAAACTTGGCTAGGGCCAAGGCAAGATAAGTGCTCCAAGTCAACAAGAAAGAAGCCCATCCCAGGACTTACTTGTAGAGGTCTGGCTGAGGCTGTTCACATTCAATTGTGGCAATAAGGCAATCTATGGCTTGGCATGTAGAGAGTTTGGCAGTATCCTGCACAGTGTAGTGAGTCTAGATGGAGGCAATAGTACAAATCAATAAGTAACGGTACTTTGAGAATTGTTTGCACAAGCGATGAGTTCAAAATTACAGAAACACTGGTTAGACAACCATCAGGCAACCATGAAAATTTTCATTTTACAGGTGATGTGTGAGAATGGTAAAAGACTTTCCACTTGCTTAGGGTGACACTAAAAGAGAAAGTCACATGGCCTGAATGAAACCATACAAGCCCCTCTTTTCCAGCACAAACATGACATTATAACTGAGTCCAATGATGTGGCTAGAATTCTCAAGCTATGGGGACCCAGTGTGCCACCAAAAAATAGGAAATGGTAATAAGAAGGGGGAGGGGTTTCCAAACAGAAAACCTAAATGTTTTGTGGAACACTGAAAAAAATAATTAAGTATATTCTTTTTTTTTTTGAACGAGTGCTGTTTTTAAGACATGCTTTTATTCAAAATATGTGTATTAAGAACATGTTTCTGCAAAACAATATAAAGTACTAGATAATGGTAATTCCTGTGTCTAGTGTAGACATACAGAGTATTTTCATGGATATATTTATTGCTTAAATGGGACTAACTTTGTCCAAAATTAATATGCTACGTACATGACACACAGCAAAATTAATATGCTATGTACATGATACACAGCAAAATACTATAAACAGCATGTCCAATTACATTTTAAATACTATAAAATGTAATTAGATAAGCTGTTAGTCCTACTGTAACGGTATCACATTATATCTGTCCAAATACCATGCTCTCTTTTGTTTACTACAAAATTTATGATTTCTACAGATGTTCATTTTTTCCCTAACTCTCAGATGGCAAAAACAAAGATATATATGCTGAGGTGGCACACAGTACAGTAGTTTGCAGTTCTTTCTTTAATAGTCATTGTATTTGCTCTTTTGCTTGTAAGGCATTTATACTTTTAAATTTCATAAATATACCAAACAGTATAAAGTTTATCCTGGCCTGGATAGCCCAGGATAGCCCGATCTCGTCAGATCTTGTAAGCAAAGCAGGATCAGGCCTGGTTGATATTTGCATGGGAGACCACTGAGGACGTTCAGGGTTGCAACACAGAAGCAAGCAATGGCAAACCACCTCTTGCCTTGAAAACCCTACAGAATCACCATATCAGCTGTGACTTGATGGCACGTTCGACCAACATAAATCTTATATACCAAGTTAAAAATAACATGATTTATGTTTTTTAAAGCACCAAATAGGTTTAGAATTGATGTGGAAGTATTACATATATTTCAGTGTAGTCCAAAACTTGCATGTTGTCCTGGGGTAGGGAAATTCAAACAGTCCCCTCCCACACACGGCTGCAAAAGTTCCAGAAATCTTAAGTCTCTGGGTTCAACTACACACCAAAGGACACCCCAGAGATCCTGACCTTGTGTTTCCCTCATCATGCTAATAAGGGAGAACCTGCAGAAGTTCATCTGAGGGTAGGAGATGCTTAACCTTCTCCATACTTGTGAACTCTCCTGCCTCTTCCTTGTAATTTCTGATCCATTCACTGCCCCTCTGAATCTTAATCAAACACAGCCGGAGAGGGGGGAAATGGCCTGAAGGAACTTGTGGAGACAACTGAATAACAGGGGAGGGCAACAAGAACCCCATCCTAATGGAGTTCCAAGTGCTCTCCTTGACAACCTGAGTCTGAAAAGACACACTTGCAGAGATAAAGTGCAGTTCCACCTTGAAAAATAGTGGTGGCCCTGGTGGAGGGGGTGGGGGGGAACAGTCTGGAGGACAGAAGCAGCAGAAGGCTACTTAACCTGGCAGCTACCACTTGGCATTTCTCCATGTTCTGAACAGTTCAGGCTCTGCTCAAAGTGCCTCTTGTCTTCTGAAGCAATGGGATCAGCTACTAAAAACAGGGCCTTCCTCAAGGTATCTTGGAAAGCCCACTCTGCTATTTTTTTGAACAGCTGCTGAAGACACAGTTGTTTCAAACAGACATTACTGCCAAGGATGCGCTGCTGATCATGCCGGAGGCAACTTGTTTTAATTACTCTATGTTCCAGTTGCCTGGGACATTAAGTTTAACAGTACTGACTGTCATTTTATTGCTCAAGTTTTCAACTAAGCCACCTGGTGAGCCTTTTGGCTATATATCCAGTATTTAATTTCTCACTTTACAATGCATGACAGAGGCATTGTGCTTATTATTTAAATTGATTTTAGTAAGTTTTGCAGCTACAATACCAAAGCTGGTCTATCTGGACTCCAAGCTCCCTTAGGGTCTTAGTGCTCGGAAAAGCTGCTTCTTCTCTGATTGCAAGAGTGATCTTTAAGTATCTCAAGCTGCAGTCCTACTTGGAAGTAAGTCCCATTGAACTCAGATGCCTAGTTCTGACTAAACGTGCTTAGGATTGTGGTAGTTATCTATAACAGGCTTCTTGTGTTCTGTGAATCACACAAACCACATTCCTTATGGATACCTTAAATCTGTTGGACAAGAATGCGATCAAATAACAAAATAGATTGTAATTCCAGCCTGTCCTTTTGGAAAGTAGATCCTCAACATGCAACTGGCAAACTGGCAGCTACTGAAACTAGTTTGTCTCTTTCCGAAGGGTGGCACAGTGGTGGAGAACATGCTTTGCATGCATAATGTCCCAGACTTAATCCCAGTTTAAAAAGAAAGACCCTGGAGAACTACTGCTAGTCAGAATAGATTTAGTGGACCAACTTAATACAGCTTCAAATGTTGAGTTTTTCATGAAAAATTGCATAGGTGGCAACAGGAATTCTGGTTTCCAAGCAGCTGGACCAGGATCTTTTTAAGGTAATCTGGTGACAGTGTTAAGTACCGATGGAGAAGCCTCTGTATCTCTGGGCTATGCAGATTGGATTCTTCTTTTAATTAATTCTAAAGCTGCCAAATAATCTAAAATCCACCAGTTTAAAAGATTCTATTTCTAGAAACAACCTGGGGGTTGTAAATCACTTCTGTCCCTGAGATATGTTACCATAATCCATCTTCATAAATAAAACTTGCCCGAATGCTTCCTGAGCTCATTATCTCTAAATTTCCCTCATTTCAAGCTGGGTGAGAAACAGCTCTATTGGATCAACGGTGGGAGATGATTAATGGCATTTGAATTACCGACGTTTTGCAACTTGAGGGTAGAACTCCAGGGCCTTACGCAGTTAAAAGAACTGGTAGGCTAATAAAAAAAGCATCAACATTTACACATACCTTCTCCAACACATCCTGTTCCTGTAAAACATGAAGCCTAGGGGCATGTTTGGAAGCAAGCACCAGTATAAACAAGACTTCTTGCCAAGTACTGATTACTTTTTTTTAATCACACCCTTCCTCCAAGGAGCTCAGGAGGTCATACATGGGTCTCCCTTCCTCTATTCTATCTTCACAGCAACCCCATGAGTTGAGTTAAGCAGACAAAGAGAGAGACACTAGCCCAAAGGGACCCAGTGAGAAGGTAGCTGAACATGGGTCTCCTCCAGTGTCCTAATCTGACACTCGAGGCATCACACCTCCTGAATCAATAAACATTCAAACAAATGTCTGGGTGTCAATTCTCTGAATTTTTATGCAACTATGAAGGAGCAGTAAGGAACTGCCCATTATTATGAAATATTTATAAACCACATTTCTCCAGACAAGCCAAATGCAAGGACGTTTACAGTATCAAAACCTACTGCAAAGCATGGCATTATCATATTACAGCAACTTTGGCAGCAGATTAAACTCCAATAAAAGCTGTGCTAAATCTGCAGTGAGCACTCTCTTTGAAGCCCAATTCAGAGCCATCTGCAGAAAGAGCCACCAACAAATCCAGGAGGATCAACGAAGAAGCATTCCCCCCAAGCATATGATTATGGACACAGTCTACCACAGACACAATATCCAGCAGGACAGCCCTCTCCGACATGAGCTTACCCAGATGTTGAGGTCATCTACCAAAGGCCCTGCTGTGTGTGCCATGGCAAATCACAAGATGGTCAAATGATCACATGTCATAAGGCTTTTTAGGTAGAGGCACCAAGACTGTGGAGTTTCCTCCCCTATGAGGCATGCCTGGTGTCTCCCTTCTTCAGGTTAAAATCTTCCTTTTTCAGCAGGTCTATCATTTAGCTGACTGTGAATCTGTGACAGTGGTTTTATTCCTTCCTTGGTCTGATGAAGCTCTGTTTGTGGGTAATGTTGCTTGTCTTACTTCCCTGACTGCTAGGCTGTTTTTCTGCAACTGTACTGTATTTTGTAAAGCTTCTGTTAGGGCTTAAGCTCCTTTGGGTGTTTGTTTATACCAAAAAATCAGAGAAAATGTTTTTTATTAATAAAATACATGCACTGAAACAAACCACTGGTCCATCAAGCCTGGTATGATCTATTGCATCTGGTAGATCGTTTAACTGGAGATGACAAGAGATTTAACGTGGAATCTGCTGCATAGAAATGGGACCTCTACCAATGAGTTCTATTACCTTCCAACTTTAGAGAGCTATCTTTTGGTCTTTCATCCCTTTTCAACCTGGATGTGTCTGAGAACTGACTCATATTTTTTGCCTAATGAAAAACTGCTGATGGCTGCTTTCACACTTTGGATAATGCACTTTCAGTGTATTTTAGCAATCGTTTGCTTTTCTTGTTTCACCCAGGAAAAACAGAGCTGAGCAAAGGTCTGAAGCTCCATACACCATCTAATGGCACACCTTCTGTGACCCACTTTAGCTAACAAACATCCACCAGATGATGCCCCGCCTTTCCATGGAGGCTCACAGGAGAGCCATGCAACAGTTCTGGTCTTGAGGAGCATTTTCTTCTTATCAATGATGTAGATAAGTAAAAAGCTGGGTTTTCACAAATCTACAAGTGCTGGTCTCTCTCCCATTAACATTTACTCTAAAGACAAAGCTGCATACCTGAAGGAATGTTACAATTAGGTCCCTAATCCCTAAATCAAGTTGACAGAGTTTTAACGACAGTAATAATTTGGTATACAAACCTCACACACACAAGTGGATATCTGCTAGATGACATGGAAATTTGGCATCTCAAGAACCTCAAATTTCATTTGCAGAATAAGTTTCTAGTTTCACATGAGAAGGCACTCTCAGAAGTGTGCCTGCATTACTATATTTCTTCCTTAGAGAAATCTGACAGACTATTTTTAGGAGGTCAGTTCAGATCACATAATTTGGTTACCTTGAAGTTTGATTCTCCATCCAGACTAGCTGTAGTGACATAACAGGTCCCATCTTTGCTACTCGATGCAAGAAATACAAGGTCACAGGGAAAGGTTTCACCTGTTATCACTTCTACTATGTCACCAACCTAAAAAAAATTCAAACAAATCATGTTTCTTCATAAAACACTACACTGTAACATAGCTATTCATGTTCGTCTCCATGTCTTAGAAAGAGAAGAAGCTTTGTTCTGGTATCTCTCTGTTTAGAGGGATACAGTCAAGCAGAACCTAGCACAAATCTTCCTATGCAGTGGCATTTTCCCTCTCCCTGGGCAGAAAGACTCAGCTGACAACAGCCTGGCCTTTCTCTGGCAGACAAAGGCATTTTTAAATCCAAAAGCCTGTGGCAGTTCATTCTTGCTGCCAACACTCAGGAGCTTGGGAAGACCCACCTGGGCATGTGGAGTAGTCCCACCATCCTTAAAGATTCATATGGAACAAAGTGTATGTACGTGGAGCGGGGAGTCTGTAGGGTATGACAGCAGTGGAGGTGAGGTTGCAGCAGAAACTGCCACCCACCCAGAATAGGCCACTGCCTTACCTCATTCTAAAACCAGTCATGCCAAAAGCATTCCCTGGCTCCCAACTGCTGACTTGTTGAATGAAAATGTGGGCCTTTTTTTAGCCTTTTTCTTCTGAAGAAAAATGGTTTCAGATGTATAGTTTTTACTGACTGTGCTTGGATGTGTTTTTTGTAATTATTACAGAAAATTCAAGTCTTATGGCAGCTTAAAGATGCAAGCATTTACTGGGGCAGACGCTCGCGGTCCTAATGGCAGCTGAAGGGCAGAAGGGCAGACAACAGAGTTGGGGTAAAAAAGGCTACCGCTTTATTGATTACAGCAACAGAAGCACTAGTGCTGGACAGGGTATGGATCCAGGCATCAGATGACCCACCTGCCATCCGATGGAAACCCACCCCCAGCCCATCTGCTAAGGGTAAACCTGAGATGGGAAGTGAAGTGGACCCACATAGACATACACTTCTGAGTGGATCCCCTGCCACCTGTGAATGGAGCCAAGCAACTACTCACAAAGCTGGGCATGCCGCAAACTGGCTCCATCCCCAAAACCTTTTAAAGGGATCCCCAACTGGGGGAGGCGGTCACACAAGTGCAGTCTCCCCACACCAAATGGATCTGGCCCAATGCCTAAAACTGCCAAAAGCTGTGACAATTAAACACATAAGAAAATTACTGCGTTACAGAAATGGAAAGCTCAGAGAGGATGGGAGGGGCTGGCCAAGTAGCCAAGTGGAAGCACCCAGTGGCTGCACAGCTTTAAATAGGCAGCATGGGTGGTCCCAAAGCAGGGCACAAAGACCAGGTGGCCAGCTATAGACCACTGGAGGTCAGCCACCAGGCACCTCCCGATGCAAGCAGCCCCACCTACATGGCTTGTAGCTGAATGGACTCCTGAGCTACCCGCTGTCCCCAGCCTTCTGCCATGCAGCCGCAATGGCAGCCCCGGGTAGGTCTTTTTAAAGCTAGCCTGCTTTAGTAGATGAACAAAGTGGATCTTCAGCTTGCACACGGTGAAAGTGTCACAGATGTCCTGTTTTTTTCTGTGACAGGCTAACTTGGATACCTCTCTGAGATTTGCTACCACGGAGAGCACAAAGACAACTAAAAGTTAATGCTGTTCTGTTTGGAAAGTCTCACTATACCCCAACAATAGTTGGCTCAAGGCAGGAGCAGGAGCAGGAGCAGAGAAATATTAAAATATACCTTTCTTCTTGGTTACCTTCTAGACTATTGAAGGGTTCTGCAGTTAAATACTGCAGAACCCGTCAACAGTCTAGAAGGTAACCAAGAAGAGATGTATATTTTAATATTTCTCTGCTCCTGCCTTGAGCCAACTAAATCCTGCCTGTTCAAGTTCTGCCCACTCTTGATGGCAATCTGCAGAACAGGCCTCTCTGACCTCTTTACATGCATACACCCAAAACACACCTACTTAGTTGTTTTACAAGAGTTAATACTGAGTTTGCCCAAACAATAAAGCTCTAGAAAAGAGGAAGGTTTTAAACCAAGTTTTATTACGATGGCACAAGTGGCAAAGACATTCTTCTTCAGACACAAAGAGTTCTACGCCATTTAGAAGCTTTAGTTGCTCTAAGTTCAGAAATACTTTGCACCATTGCAATTTGCTATTATGTTGTTTGGTTCTGTCATTATGTACTGTTTGCTTGCTTTTGTTTTTACCTTTAGTTTTATTGCTGATTTAGGCATCTGTGACATAATTTGTGACATCTGCTTACATCTGTTTCAGTGGTAACTAATAAAATATTTTTTCCCCAGGGGAAATAGTTGCCAAATGTCCTTCACAGGAAGTGATCAAAGCTCTAGGACAGTTCCCCACCTCCATTACCTGGACTGTATCACAGTCCTTCTTCACACGCTTTCCATCCTCAATCACTAAGACTGTGCTTTTGTTGACTTCCCGGTCTGCCCTGTGCCGTAGCCAATCCTCATAACCCTGAAAGAAGAAATGAAGAAAAATGCAACCAGGAAGCAAATAAATTACAGGGTGGTGGCCAGATTTGCTGCATGGGCAATTTAAAGATCTTATAATCCTCTTTAGAAAGAGGGAGAAAGGAGTGTGGAATACCTGTTTAATAGCTGTAACAATAATAACGAAGAAAAGAGGAAGTCCACTGGTGACTGGGCTCGTTGGTGTATCTACTATGACCTGCAGAGAGGGAAGGGAAAAGTGCCAAGTTACTGAATCTTTCTATGACACTAATGAGTAGTGAGAGTCATTAATTTCACAACAATCAAACATACACAAGTAGTCACCAAAAACTGATATTCAGGGGAAAGAGACAGAAACCCTCAAAGTGGTCACAATGCAAAGAATCTCCAGCTGTTTATATAGTAGAGATACATCTCTCAGACACTGATCCCACTGGGTATTCCCTGCTCCCACTTCCCTGCTCAAAGTCTATCATCAAATACCTTGTGAAGAAATCACTCTAGGTTTCTGAAAGCATCATTTGAGGCACAACTTCCAGCACATACATGGGCAATTTGGAGCAAAAGTGTTATTTTTGTATAGACAGTTTTCTTCTGGTCCATATTTAATCCACGTCAAATGCCAATAATGTACCACAGCCTGTGCTGCCAATGGAAATTTGTGGACTATCCCAGGAAAGAGTTCTAGGTACTGGATCCCAGGTGGCAAACTGAATGTATGTGGTAATAACAACTTTACCTGAATAGGAGACTGCCTGGAGTTCTGTCTATACCACAGAGCTCCATCACAGAAGAAAGGCAGGATACCAATGCAAAACCCCCCAACAACCCCAAATTCAAACTACTAAATGTGTAGATGCCCACCTCAGGTGGTCAGCATACATTCCATGGAATTAGTTCATTGGAGCTCAGTTAAACCAAGTTCTTACTGAAGTCCTTCTAAGTCAGTGGTGGCGAACCTATGGCATGGGTGCCAGAGGTGGCACTCAGAGCTCTCTCTGTGGGCACGCGTGCAATCGCCCCAGCCAGGCCCAGACCATCATTAAAGTGTCGAATTCTGAAAAAGCCATCTTTAGACCCGACCGAATTGGCTAATTATCGGCCGGTGTCTAGAGAGGGTGGTGGCATTACAGCTACAGAGCTTTCTGGAGGATGCTTCCGTCCTCAATCCCTACCAGTCCGGCTTTCGCCCTGGTCACGGGACGGAGACTGTGCTGGTCGCCTTGACTGACGATCTCTGTAGGCATCTGGAAAGGGGCAGTGTGGCAGCACTGGTGCTGTTAGATCTGTCGGCCGCGTTCGATATGGTCGACCACCAGTTGCTGACCCCCCGCTCGCCGACACGGGGATTCAGGGGCTTGCCCTTCAATGGTTTGCCTCTTTTCTCCAGGGTCGGGGACAAAGGGTGGCGATAGGGGACCAGCGGTCCCGGAGATATCCCCTTGAGTGTGGGGTGCCTCAGGGGGCCGTTTTGTACCCGATATTGTTTAACATCTACATGCGCCCCCTTGCCCAGATTGCCCAGAGTTGTGGGCTTGGGTACCATCAATATGCTGATGACACCCAGCTCTATCTGATGCTAGGCGGCCGGTCGGACTCTACTCCCGATGACCTGCATCGGGCGTTACAAGCTGTGGCTGGTTGGCTCAGGCTGAGCCGGTTGAAACTAAACCCGGCAAAGACGGAGGTCCTGGGCCTGAGTCGGATCAGCTCAGGGTTGGGGCTCCCTCTCCCGACCTTTGATGGGGTTCCGTTGGTACCAGCGTCGGAGGTTAGGAGTTTGGGGGTGCGCCTGGACTCCTCTTTAACGATGGAGACCCAGGTGGCAGCCACTGCCAGGGCAGCCTTTTATCATCTTCGGCTGGCTCGGCAGTTGGTCCCCTATCTTAGCCGTGAGGACCTGGCCACGGTGATCCATGCGACGGTTACCTCAAAGCTAGACTACTGTAACACTCTCTACATGGGGCTGCCTTTGTCGCAAATCCGGAAGCTGCAGCTAGTGCAGAATGCTGCAGCCAGGCTGTTGATGGGCCTCTCGAGGAGGGACCACATTCAGCCTGTGCTGAAAGCGCTGCACTGGCTGCCGATAGCGTACCGGATTCGCTTCAAAGTGCTGGTTTTGACCTTTAAAGCCCTTTATGGCCAGGGTCCACCCTACCTGAGGGACCGCCTTTCTCCATATGTTCCCCCAAGGGCACTACGGTCGGGGAGTCGTCATCTCCTGGAAATTCCAGGCCCGAGAGATGTTAAATTTGCGGTGACCAGGACCAGGGCGTTTTCGGTGGCAGCTCCTACCTGGTGGAAGGAGCTCCCAGAGGAGATCCGGGCCCTGCGGGACCTTTCTCAGTTCCGCAGGGCCTGCAAGACGGAGCTCTTCCGCCAGGCCTTTGAGTAGGAGCCACTGCCACCACTATTCCACCACCACCCCTATGCACTATCGTATTACCAGCATGACTGGATCCCACTGGAGGGACGAGGCGTCCGGGCATGATTTGGATGACAAGATTTCAAGAAGCTACCATGGAGGTTAAGATCTACCCATCTTGGCTAAACTTGTAAACTTGTATTGTAAACTTGTAGCTGTATTTTATTATAATTTATTGTTTTATATTATATGTTTTATTGTTATAATCTTGGCACATAGTGCCCCTGTAAGCCACCCTGAGCCTTTGAGGTAGGGCGGGATATAAATCCAAACATAAATAAATAAATAAATTCTCTGGGATTGCTTTCCTTACTTTGTTTGGATCATCTTAAGTTAATGTATGAGTTTTTTTCTAAAGTAAAACCTCAGTATTCAGGTTAAATTGCCGTGTTGGCACTTTGCGATAAATAAGTGGGTTCTGGGTCACAGTTTGGGCACTCGGTCCCCAAAAGGTTCACCATCACTGTTCTAAGTGCTAAACAATGGTGGGTGGGAGAATCATTGGGAGATGATGTAGCCAAATATGGTGAAATGCAGTGGCTAGAAGACTGATCAACGAATTGTGAAGTCCCCAGATCAAATCTCATCTCTGCTATGAACTCACTGGGTGACCTAATGGAAGCCATTCTCTCTTAGCCACAAGCCACCCTTGCTCTGCAGTTTATTTTTATTTTATTTATTTATTTAACTTTCGATTTATATACCGCCCTAACCCACCCAATGGGGGTCTCTCGGCGGTTTACAACTTGTAGTGCTAATCACTTTTATGGATCCCTAACTATGGGCACATTCTCAGGGGTTGGGTCAGCCTACCTAGCACCCCGGTGGTGGCGGCTCTTCCTTCAGGGTTAATAATCCTGGTCACCCTCCAAGATTGCTTTATGGATCTCAAGACAGCACACAAGCATTACATATATCCTATGCTTTATTACGTCTTCAGAATAATTGGGGCAGGGGTGATTTGGGTGGCTGGCATTCACAAAGACCAAAAGATGGAGAACTTATTGCATGCATTTCTCAAAAGATACTAACACCCATTCTGACTAATCTAGGTCATAATTTGACAGGACTTGCTACTGCTTAGCAAATACATCCATGGCGGAGGGAAGGATTCTGGGCCAAAATGTTTTATTATGTACAGAATAATAAATCTTGGTGCTTGGGAGGGACAACAGTGGGAGGGTTTCTAATGTCCTGGCCCCACTGGTGGACCACCTGATGGCACCTGGTATTTCTGGCCACTGTGTGACAGAGTGTTGGACTGGATGGGCCTTTGGCCTGATCCAACATTGGCGTATCTTATGTTCTCTTATGTTCTTATGAATTACAAGGTTCCTTTTTGTGATAGCCAAGGTCAATTAAAAAAGAGAACTTGGCACAATAAAGCTTTTTTTTTTTGCTTCCAGAGACCAAGAATTTAAGCGTTTCTACATGGCTGTCTCTTTCTCACACACACCCTCTTCTCTTGTAATCTTCATTCCCCCCCCCCGAACGTTCAAGATATCATATGAAGACATAAGAAAACAAAGAGGAAAAGAGCATCAAATTTTCTGAATTGTTATCAAGAAAAAATTTCTTCCAGCTCTGGTTGTAGTCAACAGTGGAACAGTCAAACAGCATCTGGGGGCTGTAGAATTATTTCCGATTGGCTCTAGTTCAACATGACACTCCTTCCAAGTTACAATTTCACGGGCATTTTGGGAGATTCCAGTTCATTGTAGCAAACCAATCCATACCATATTAGAAAGAAGCAACTCAGTATCTTTGCCCCTGGAAAGGTTATCCATAACTCTGAGGATCTGCAATTAGCCCTTATGGCTCACTGCAGGATTTACGATATCTGGAAGAAAAGACTAAGGAGAGCTGTCTCAGTGTTATTGTTTTAATTAGCTAGAGCTACTTCTGTAGAGATCATTAATGTCTAATCTCTGAAACTAGGAGGACATGCCAATTCATGAACTGTTCCATTTTCAGAGCAGATGGGATTCAGCTATTGTGACTGCAGCAACCGCAAACTCAATACACCCTTTAGCAATGCCTGATAACACTCAGCTTATGGGGAAATAGCCAAGTGGTTTCTGTTCAGCTAAAATACCAAGGACTTTAAGGTGATAAAGCCCCAAATTCAGTAACAAAATCTGTAGACATATTTCCAAATGGAGACTTCGTTAATAACGCTTAGCATAGAACTTGCAGTGTTCAAAACATTTGTTGTGGTCCTTACAACAGCCTTGTAAGGTAAGCCAGTGTACTGCATATTTGGGGGAGGGGGCAAAGCCAAGAGAGGAGCTGTATTAAGGCAAATTAACAAATTTGTGACAGAAGTGAGATTTGAACTGATGACATTTCTGAGCCAATGGACTTCCCAGAGCAGCCAGTGCTGTGCTGTGCTTGTGAAGCTCTCAGAAAGCTGAAACCCAGCAATCAGCTGGTCGGCACTGGATCCAGATTCCTACTTCTCCTTACAAATTGGAACAAGGCCAAAGAAGCTTCATCTTATGAAATCAGCAGGCTTTCAGATTTTTTAAAAAGGATTTGTGTGCACAGGCCTGGCTGTTGGGACTAGGAAGGGAATATATATATGCAGTACTCATTTGGGTCTTCTATGTCTATTTTTCCCATTCACCTACAAGAAAATACAGCTTCTGGCTAGATAAGGGCAGTATCTGAGCTCCTCATTTCAACAAAAAGAAAACCTACATCCCAAGTAATTAAGAATCATTATAACTGGATCATCTGAATTTCAACATTAAGCCACATCAACAATCACAGGTGCAGATATTGTTATAGCTTGTGTTAGTACAACAACACATCCCCAATTCCTTATTAAGAATGACAGTCTAGCCCTGACCTGGATAGCCCAGGCAAGTCCGATCTCATCAGATCTCAGAAGCTAAGCTGGGCCGCCCCTGGCAAGTATTTGGATGGGAGACCTCAAGAGAATACCAGGGCCAAGAGGCCAGAGACAGGATAGCAAGCTACTTCTCTGAATGTCCTCTGTGCCCCAGTAGGAGTCACCAGAGGTTGCGAATTCCAGGCATGGGTGCAAACACACACACACTGCAAAAGTATCAAATAGATAAATAAATAATAAAATGACAGTCTAATATTCATTCTGCAAAACAATGCCGGATGCTTTCATTGCTCTGTTCCTAAAATAAATCACTACTTCTGGCTTTTACTTCATCTGCAAAAGAAGCCTTACCTGTACAAGAAAGATGATAAGGAAATAGAAGTTGGCAATTCTTCGGAACTGTTCGAAGAGATTCTTTGGGAGAAAATTCCAGACTGTGTACTGCAAGATGAAAGCACCGATTAAGATCAGAACCATGAATACAACCAATATGGAGACAGAACACCTACTGACAGTTCATATTCAGCCAAATAATGAAGTCAACAATAAATTTCTAAAACGTACTTTTAAAAGGAAGGGGTGGATATTAAAGCCACCCCCATTGAGGGAGAATGATGTGTCATACTTTATACACACACACACACACACTATCACCAGGAGTATGCCCTGCTTATTTTATTCCAACATTTGCAAGGTGGCTAAGTCAAACCCACAAATCAGTTAAATATTCCACAGATGGATCCAGGATGCCTGACACATCCTAAAAAGGTCACCTCTGCTGGCTACATAGTGGCAGGGCAGTTCAGCTTCCATTAGATTCTTTCATAAGACCAGGACTTCCTGTCTTGAAGTAATGCTTGGAAGTAAGGCGGGATACAAATTGAAAATAATAATCAATAATAACTAATAAACAAGTAGGTGAAGGAGTTTTATTGGAAATATTCCAATAAATTTATTGGAAATTTATTGGAAATATTCCAATAAAACTTCACTACAACATTGAATGGTATAAATTGAGCCAACTTCAGAGGACGGCGGAAGACAGGACGGCCTGGCGGGAGCTGGTCCATGGGGTCGCGAAGAGTCGGACTCGACTGTGCGACTGTGCGACAGGTGAAGGAGAACATACTGGAGATTACTTTAGCCACCTGACTCATACCTGAATGGTTTACAGGTCTCTACCCCAAAACTCCCCTTCTGTGATTTTTGTTATAAAAATCTCTGTAAGTTTTTAAATTCCCTAAGCATCTGGTGAAGTGAGTTCTGACTAACAAAAGATTGTGCTGGAATAAATTTTGTTAGTCTTGAAGGTGCCACTGCCACTGCATTTGTGTTAGTGACTGCTCACTCACTCTTCCATCCCTATGTCAACAATAAAACAGGAAGACACCCGATGAGACTAGGCAAAGTTTGATTTACTGGATTGGACCCCACAGACCTCTTCCACTAATGGTTGTGCTTTCCTCTGGTGCAAGTAGCCTTTGCCTCCCAACAGAGCCTCTTGGGTAAACAGAGAATGTGAAAGAGACTGTGCAAAGGATCTGCAGGATCCATCCCACAGATTTCTACCCTGTGCCTAATAAATGTCCAGTGTTGCTGAACAGCCATAAGTACATCAAATCTACACCCACAATAACCCACAACCACAAATATTCCAATAAAACTTCACTACAACATTGAATGGTATAACATTATAAACACAACAAAAAGTTTCTTTAAAACCCATAACTTGCAAGGGAGCTTTGGAGCTCATGTCATGGGTGCTTTCAGTGGACAACAGAGGGACCAATCCGTTCACAACAGGGTCAAAAAGCAAGGCTAAGGTGATACAGGGATATGAACCAGGACCAAGAAAGAAAAAGAGATTTAATCCTTCCATCTGTTAATGGTTTTACTCCCATCCCCCCATCCATTTCAAGTTGCCTCAGAAGGAGAGGAAGAAAGGAAAGGCATTTGTATTTTTTCTATTTTTAAAAAACAAACAGTAATATGTATGTGTGGTGGGGGTGATGGGTGTAACTGCACAAGAGTGGAATGATTTTTTAAAAAGAACAAAGAAAGCTTCCCTGCAGGGACCAAATTTGAACTGTGGCCATGTGTGCAGGGGAGCACTTACACAAATCTCAGAGGCGTGAACAGTCAAACACTTTCACAAATGTCAGAGGTCTGTTCTCTATCCAACCCACCCTTCCCCCAAAATATATATTTTTAAAAAACTTATAGAACATGGTGGTGATTCTACAAGAGAAGTCTTCCAACACTCCAATTGAGCTGCAGGGAAAGACTGCAGATAAACTTCCCTGAAAGAGTACTGATTATGGACAAGACTCCCAATATGACTGACAAACTCTGGGGTTTCTGTGGACACAGAGATGAATCCTATGTATCACAAGAAGAACAGCAATCATGGACCTTTCTGACCAACCCTCTCCCCATTGCAACCTGTTCTGCTCCCCAGAATATTTATTTATTTCAATTTCTTAACTGCCCTTCCCCACTTGCATGGGGCTCAGGGTGGTTTACAACAACATAAAATCCAATACAATTTTAAAACTAGTTAAAACTACAGAATTCAGAATTAAAACATTCAACACAGATATTTAAGCATTTTGAGCAAGATGGCATATTTAGCATTTAGATCTTCATGGGAGGGAGGGGAGGGTGCCGGGCAGATGTAAAGGTCAAGGTTCAAGAACAGCAGGTCAAGAATACAGGTCAAGGTTCAAGAACAGCAAGGACTGTGACATTTAGGTCCTCAACATGATTGAGGAATGGGTGCGGATGTTTCAAGCAGAGCAGCTACGTGCATGAGTGGAACAATGCTTCTTATGATCTACTAAGCTAGAGATGTAAAATGCAGTCCAATTCAGAACAGCCTTTTAAAAAGAAACCAGTTCAAACAACACAGTTCCAGCCATCGTATGTCATCATTCTGACAACAGCAAATATAGACACTGATGGGGCAACAGGAGTACTTTTTGCAGCTCCTGCTTTGAAGTGCATGAGCAAAGATGGTTTATCGGGATTTAAGTTTAGGAATGCATTCATATTACGCATCAAGAACTTGCATGCATCCATTGATGACGTTGTGTAGATTAACAGGTCAAGCATACCTTGGAGGAGATTATCTTGTTGTCACAGAATTTCTGGACAACATAAGCCTCTGTTTCAGAAACCGGACGGTGGCCAACCAGGATGGTCCGTGTCCCAACGCGTTTGTCTTCCCCAATAAACTGCAGGAAAAGAATACAAAGGTCACTATGATAAACGATTTAAAAAGACAAGAAGTTTCCCCATGTTTGAGATGCTGGGGACTGTGCTGATCTGTACTGGAGGTCCCCTGACATTATAATGCATAAGGAAAACTGTGCTCTGTGGAAGTTCCACAGGTGCATGGAGCAGCAGTGGAGATCTCTCCCCCTCTCCCCCTCTCCCCTCCCCCCTCTCTTTCTATGACAAAACACTGTATTTCCATCCTCCAGACTTCTTCCTTTTACAACATTTGGTGGCAAAAATGCACTTTACAAATTATATCCTGTGTGTTACAAGAAGCAATTACTTTCCAGAACTACAGGACAACTCTACTGAGAGTTGGCAGCTCAGAGCTTCTTTGAAGGAAAAAAAAAAGTCCAGCTGTCTGCAAAAGTGTTTTCCAACCTATTTTAGGAAAGTTGGGGGAACCTCAGAAACTTATCAGAGGTTCTTTAAAGAGAAGAACAGTAATGATATGCATGCATCTGTGAAATGAAGAAACTTGATCTACCAGTTAAGCCCACTATATGCAGCTGCAAAGGTGTGCCGGCTACATTCTAAACCATCATCTCATTTGACAAGGCACACTAAAACATGTTCCCAAATTCTGCATAACCATGCAGGAATTCTGTATCAGACTGTCAGGGCTGCCTTGACTAGCTTCCCTGAAAGCTGTAAATTTGAAAGACACCAATTTATTTTTTATAAATAATTTTTAAAAGGTCAAATAGGCACGAACATACAGGCTCTGACTTGCAGTCCATCATATCCACTATACCATCTCCATCAACAGCAAAGCAGATTCAGAAGGATGTACAAGGGCTTTAAGGAGATGACAGCAGCATCATTTAAACCAGTAGTCCAAGTCTGGCTAATGCTCCAAGGCATTTTTATACCTTTCCCCCAACAACCTCCCTGTCATGCAAACTATTTCACTTGTAACTCTAACATGGAAAACATTGCTCACAATGAACAACCTTTTCTGCTCAATGCTGGGCTTGAGGACAGTTAAAAATAGTAATTCATGCATCTGGAGGCACACATCTTTCACTGCCTGGGCCTTCATACTGGAAACTCTCAGGAACATCCAGTGTCAGATCTGTAGTATCAGACAAAGACCTTGAAAAGGGTTGTGATGTGGGGCCAAAAATTCTTGCTTTCTTCCTCACAATCCAGGGTCAACTACACATATAAAAGATTAAAATAAAATGAGTGGGTATATCTAAGAGGGGGAAATCTGTCCTCGGTATCTCCATTTGGAATTCATACTCCCTCTGACATTCTTCAGCCTACACATTATTTACTTTGCTCGCTTTGAAGCGCATTAAACTCTCTAAAAAAATTACCAAAACCTATGTAGCAGTATATTGCACATTCCAGCAAGAACCTTGGCCACTATTTCAACAGAGCCAAAGGGAAAATCACAATTCAGTTTTCAATTTGACCCAAAGATTCCTCACATACTGCATTTATGCCCCCCTTTTACCACTTTTCTGCTTTCTAAAGTTATCTTAGAAGCTACTAGACGTTTAGAGACCAGAACAACATTGCAAGTAACAGCAGTTCTATTAGAGAATTACAACATACCCTAACCTCAAATACTGGCCACTTTCTTAAGAAAACAAAAAAGTGCCCAAAGGCTGGGATTGAGGGGCCAGGTGAGTTTCCAGGGCTGGAAAATGTCTACAACCTAGATGTAGCAGCTGGAAACTCTATCCTGCATACCCCTCGTAATCCCAAATCATGTCATTATTGCAAGCGACAAACCCCTCAGACCTAAACTTTGGGGAAGTCATAGTACTGAATGTTGAGAAAGAAAAGAAATACTTAACCTCTTTCCCACTGGCCACTTTTTTGCTCAAAATCACCCCTCAATTCCTGTTCAAATTCCCAATCACCCCATGAAGTCCTTTCAAAGAGTAGCGAAGTAAACACATATACACAACATCAGTGAAAACTATCAGAACTGACAAAACTGGGGCAAAATAATTCTTCAATCCCTTTGAAACAGAAGGCTAACACCTCCTTGGATAGGTTTATTTTTCTTTATTTATTGTTTTATTTTTCACATTTATATCCTGCCCATCCCGTATGGGCTCAGGGCGGGTCACAACAGTTCAATAAATACAATACAATTTAAACACATTAAGACATATAAAATCAATAGTCATGCTTGCCATAGGGAGAATCCAGCCCATGTAACTAAGTATGGCCGGTTATCAGTAGGTGGGAGACCGCAACCTCGGGGGGGGGGGGCATATGTGGATGCCCGCTGCCTCAGCCAAAGGCCTGGCGGAACAGCTCCATTTTGTGGGCCCTGCGGAATTGAATAAGATCCCGCAGGGCCCTGATCTCAATAGGAAGCATGTTCCACGATGTGGGGGCCAGAGTGGAAAAAGCCCTGGCCCTGGTTGAGGCTAAGCAGATGTCCTTTGGGCCAGGGATCACCAGGAGATGTTGACCCTTGGAGCGTAATGCTCTCCGAGGCATATATGGGAAGAGGCGGTCTCTTAGGTATGTTGGTCTCAGGCCGTATAAGGCTTTGAAGATAATTACCAACACCTTGAAGCGGATCTGGTACTCAACTGGCAGCCAATGCAGCTGACAGAGCCCATGCCGAACGTGAGCCCGCTCAGGCGTCGACATCAGCATGTGCGCAAACGCATTTTGTACCAGCTGTAATTTCTGGATCAGCTTCAAGGGTAGGCCTGTGTAGAGCTAGTTGCTGTAATCAAGCCTGGAAGTGACCATTGCATGGGTCACTGTAGCTAAGTCCTGGGGGGAGAGATAGGGCTTCAGTAGCCTGATCTGCCTAAGATGGAAAAATGCAGATCTGGTGACTGCAGCAACCTGGGCCTCCATAGATAAGGAGGTATCCAGTGTTACTCCCAGGCTCTTCACTGACTGGGCCGGCACCAGAGCTGTCCCAGTGTGGGAAGCCTGATGCCCACCTCCAAACCCCCATGACCCAGGTACAGGACCTCCATCTTCGATGGATTTAACTTCGATCAACTGTGCCGCAACCATCCAGCCACAGCGTCCAAAGCCTCAGCCAAATTTCCAGGAACAGAGGACAGATGACCGTCCATTAACAGATAAAGCGGAGTGTCATCAGCATACTGATGGCAACCTGGCCCATAACTCCAGACTAACTGGGTGAGGGGGCGCATATAGATGTTAAATAGCATTGGCGAGAGGATCACCCACTGCGGCACACCACATCCTAGTGGGTATCGCAGGGAGACCGTCTCGCCCAGCGCCACCCTCTGTCTCCAACCATGGAGAAATATATACTGCCTTTCTTCACCTCACAGCAAACCGAAGGCAGAGTTTCTAAGTCTGCCTGCAACAATCAAAAAGGTCCTTCACCTCCCATAACGTTTGGAGAAGGGTCCCCAGTTGCTGATTGTAAAGCATGTATGAGGTTTAATTAGGGATGCTACTAAATTTCATGATCACGCTGCCAAAATTAGATATTACTGTTATTACTGACCCTGGTTTTTGCATCAGTTGTATAATGCTGCCATAAAAGAAACAAATTTACTTGGAACATCAGCAACTAAAATTCGCAAACAAAAAAGGCTTGCAAAGACAACAGATGAAAACAAAAAGAAATAAAAGAGGGCATATTTGTCAACCACCAGTTGACCCAACGTGAAAATATGACCAATAAAAAGGCTCCTATACTGCCGAGCAGTCTGAACAGACCAGACTAGCCAGAACTTGTCAGAGCTCAGAAACTAAGCAGGGTTGGCCATGGTTAGTATTTGGACGGTAGACCACCAAGAAAGGCTATGGTTGCTATGCAGAGAAGGCAATGACAAACCACCTCTGCTCATCTCTTCCCTTGAATACCCCACAGATCAGTTGCAACTTGACAACACTTAATTATGCTGCTCATTACCTGAATTCCCAATATGTATATAAAAACATCTTCTACCACCAAATATCTGATAGCTTACATCTAATGGCTCAAACACCTTGAATAAACCTAACTCCCAAAACATATATCTATCTTCTTGCAACCCAGTGCTGTCTGTCAAATAATCTCACTCTATTACCTTCTGGCAAGTGTGCTGTTTAGTTCTGCATCAAGCATCATATCTTGAGTCCACCCTAAAACCCAAAGGTTGTGGCACTTCACTAGTGCACAAATGGTCAATTCCCCAACAAACACATGGCACAACCCAACCAATATTGATTTCAATGACAAGTGTCAAGCCCTGTGTTCCAGAGCCATGCAAGATAACAGAGGAACAAATTTAATTTCTTTTTTTTTAAAGCAAAGCAGGAAATGTGCGTTTAAAATATATAAAATACATAGATCACACCTGGAAAATGTGTATTCCAAGTTTTTAAAGGTCAGTTTTCACATGAACAAAATTTACTCAAGGATGGGGGGGAGACTTCACAGCAAGGCCCTACTAGCATTAAAAAAAAGACTAGAAGGGCAAAAGATCCTATTTACAAGAGTTTAATGTTCTCTTGAAAATCAACTGAGCTGGTTTACACAGTGATGGGGATGCACACTAGCACCAGAATATGGATTAGGAATTTGGATTCAGAATTTAGAATTGTGGAGTTTGGAATTGTGGCCCTTCAGGCTCAAAATTAAGAACACTTGAGATTTCAGAATATACAGAATTCTATTAAGGTCATTTCATTAATTTTATTTCTTTATAATGTTTTTATCCTGCCTTAGGTTTTTTGTGAAAACTCAGCATTAAAAACACAGCCAGAGTATAAAAACATAACTCACTGAAGCTAACACACACACACTACAAAAATGGTCTTTAAAATGGTGTTAATTAAAAGCTGAGCTAAACCAAAATGCTTTGGCCTGGCGCCTAACAGAAAGTAACTTGGCACCAGGTGAGCCTCAGGGGGGAGGGCATTCCATAGGTGAGCTGACATTACTGGAAAATCCGTGTTTCTGGTTGCTACCCAACTCACCTTGGTAGACAGGAGCATGGAGAGCAGG